CTGTTAAGGTGGGCCCCTTGAGCAAAAAGATGCAGAATGTAAGTTGAGGTGGTTTGGCCATGTAGAGGGAAGAAGTGACAATTATGTTGGAAAGAAGATTAGAAAACTGGAAGCAAAAGGAAAGGGAAAAAGAGGAAAACCAAAGATGTGTTGGAAAGATAAGGTGGAAGAAGACTTGAACCAGATGGGACTTAAGAGAGAAGAAGACCAGAGGGGACTTAAGAGAGAAGAAGCCCTTGATAGGGAGAAATGGAAAAAACATATTAGAGAAGGAAACACTGATCCCATATAAACATGGGAAAAGGTGAAGATAAAGAAGAAGAACAGGTATAGCTTCAAATAAAAGGCTGCTTAGAAAAGATAAATGAACTCTTGATTTAGAAGCATGTAATTTTAAACCAATCTTTCAACAATAACACAATTTTAACAAAAAGTTAAATTTAAAAATTTTCAAATAAATTGTTTTTTCAATGTAAAAAATTGATCATGTAAAGACAGGTTCTTTTGTCAACTGCATTATTTCAAATTTATGTGAAAATAGGGATAGGTGTGTGTATATATCTAGGTTCTCAAAGACTAAAGATGATCAATGAGGAAAAAAAGACCAGAACATATGATTTTACATAAACAGCTACAACAAGAAATTTTGCATCCTGGTGGCTTACAGTTTCTTATAAAAAGCGAAAATGAGAATTTTGTATCAAGACTGTTAAAAAAATTACCATGATTCATCATAGTCATTTTCTTTTTATTCTGTAATAGCAAATAAACATAAACAACAGCAAAACTAATTTATTTTTGAGGAAACTGGAAGAATGACACTTAGCAGTTGATATCTTTTGTATAATGTTTGCACATTTTATCATTTATAAACAATACTAACCTCTTTTATTAGCTGCTTACAAAATTCTGCTTACTCCCAGATGTTATATTTCAGATTGACAGTAGAAACTGCAAACATGAGGGTACATTATGTATGGTAATGAAACTATTGTCATCAGTTGGAAACTCATTACAAGCATAGAGCCATTCAAGTAACCTTTCTTTAGACTAGAAAGTTAACATCAAAACAACAGCCAAGACATTTCTTGCTCAAACCAATGTCCTTGTTTGCTGATGTGATGTCATTTTAGAACTAACTTGTGAGTTGACTATAAATTGGGTTATGCTCTTCTTCCTCAATATGATTAAGATGGTAGATTATTGTATGCATTTGTGATAAAAATGCCACAATGTTGTTTTTACAATGATGCATTATGTTAAGCTGGTAATGCTAGAATGTGTTCTAATTATTTTTTAAGTCATGATAGAAGTTCTCATTATGGTATTTCTGAAAATGGCTCTTTATAAGCAGCCAGGATGTAAAATTTCTTCTTGTAGCTGTTTCTGTAAAGCCACAATGTATTCTGGTCATTTTTTCCAATCATTGAGCATTTTCAGTCTTTGCATCTAACATATATAGTCACAAGTTAAAGTCTGAACTATATTACTAAACATTAAGACTTATGGATTAATTAAGCTTAAGATTAATAATTTCATAATTTTTCATTTTTTCCATTTTTACAATTTTATGTATTATTTACTTTTTGGACTGAGTTATTTTATCTAATATTTGCTATGATAGATAATCCTAAATACTGATTAGTTAACATCATAGAATCTTATGATTTGATCAGTATGCATTTATTAATTGAAGACTCATGTCAAATAATGTTGCAAGTGTCAAAGTAGCATTTCCACAAAAATTGGAAAACCTCTAAATTGAAGTAAATCAGTTGAAAGTTTCAGTTAAAGGTATAGGAATGACACTGCTGCAAAAAATTGGGTCATTTTCATTATGAAATATTTTAGAAAATGATAATAAAGCATTCTGTGTAATGGAAAAAACTTGCACATGCACATGTCACATGCAATATTTTTTCATTTGACTTTTAAAAGTTTAATATTTTGGTTTTACAGCAAGGCCCTGTCTACTTCCCTATTTATGACAGAGCATTTTATAAGCTGCGTGTTTTGGGGCATTTAACAGAAAAAGGTGCTAATGGAAAAATGTTGCATGTGACACAATAACTCTTACTAAACAAACATGAAAATACTTGAACAAGAAAAGAAATTATCACAAAAAACATTAATTATATATAAATACTGCTTTATTCGCTAGCACTTTCGATGTATTATAAGATGTTGTCCTCAGACAGAAACAAACTCAAATAAATATTTCGAACAAACTTTTCAAATTAAAACTAACGGCTTTAGTCCTTTAGAACAAAATTATAATTAGAATAAACAAATGTAAAGAAGTTAAATTAAAGTGCACGTGGTTGCTATGTGCATGCACCATAATGTGTGGTTTAGGTGCTGAGAGCATATGGAGTTGTGTAAAAATCTACCGACTCCAACTCCAATTCTGACTAGGGGTGGACATGTTACTGAAAAAGACCCGGAAATTCTGATGTCATCACGTGACCTCATAATAAAAGATTCAATAAATAGAGTTCTAATAAAGATAGAACGTAGAAACTTTTTATTCCAAAGCTATAAGACTCCTCTAAGTAATATATAAATATGTATTTGATAATTTTTACTTTTTCGGCTGTTATATATAACAGATGGAAAGTGTAGCGCTGGGTCAAAAAATGACTCTTCCCAAATTTTTACATTTTTGGACTCGGGACACCTTGAAATTTCGAGATATACAAAAGATTCTAGGTTTTTTCTATATGTGTAGATGTTAGACTGTGTATGTGGGGCATGATTTTGTTCACCCTGTTTGAAGCCTAATAATTTCTGTGATCAGAATGGTCAGAATCGGAGTCAGATGGTTTAACACAGGAGTTAGTTATTAAGCGTCAAAATGGTTGAACTAAATTGTGTCCCCATATACATTCTAACATCTTAGGCGAGAACATCTTAACGGGTTTTACCGTACAAAAAATGTATAAAATGACAAAAAAGCTTACTATGAGGGAAGAGACGAGTTTTATTTTATTATTATTATTTTTTTAATTTTGAACGCTAATAACGAATAAAATATTCATTAAAAGATATGACACATGACCACTTTTATGTCTTTATCCTGTCGTTCTTTAATTAAGAACCAAAATTTAATAGTATTAATGCCCCTTTATACACAAGCTACAGTGCCACATTTCGTTTCTTAAACTTTACCCATTCTGAGATATTGTTTAATATCTCAGAACAGAAAATAAAGAAATTAAACAAATTAGATGCCAATGCACACACTTGTGCAAATTTTTCCCCTTTTATTGACCTCAGTTGAGGATTTTGGGAGGTCTCCAAACGTGTAGATTTGCAAAAGAAACTTGGAGGGTCAAATTTGACATGATTCCAATACTTTTCCGTTTTATATACATACAAGTTGGGAAGTAAAAAGGAGACAGAGTTGGAAGATTTTTTGATGACTCTGACTCTGACTCCAGCTAAAACACCAAAACTCCGTGAATCCGACTCCACAGCCCTGTAATTTTCAGATGCTTTGACCTCATGAAAAATTTTTCTAAAATACTGAGATCTTTTATGTCATCATTCATTGCAAGCTCCATGCTGTGAAATGCAACACATGCAATGTTTTTCCACTCACCTCACTTGAGTGCTGTATAGCTACTTTAATTTGTCCATGTATCACAAATATTCATTTCCTAACTTCCTCTGAATTTCTGATATCTTATGATTCCAATTTGAGGGTTGACAGTACCTTCTCACTCCTAAATTTTGCATTTGCAGTTCTGAAGAAGTGAGAGTGAACACCTGCTTGTCTGCCTTTTTGTAGAGGGTTCGTTTTGGATCGTTAAGAGTTAGTAGATGCACCGGTAACAGGTTAGAAAAAGTTATATTACTATTCTCCGGTGTTGTGGTAAAGATGTGTAGTCTGCCTTTTTGTATGCACATGCAACATATTTCCATACAGTTGATAAGTTGTATGCATTTTTTTCACAGTAACCAGTCAGATTTATTTAATTGTAAAGATACTATTCACTACATTGTTTTGCAGTACATGATTTATTATAAAAACGTGAATTCTGCTGTTTAGGCTCTTGCAATGTTATTCAATAACATTGCAAGAGCCAAAAAATAACATAATATTGCTAATATACAGCAGTTGTATTAAACAGGCAGAAAAGTGGCATCAAAACAAACAAAGATAAATGAGTTTTTTAACAAATCATGAAATCAAGTGAACTGCTAATGAGCATAGACAATTTGCCTCTTTTTGTGTTTACAGTATAAACAGTTTCTGTCAGCTTTGTCATACACATGTACAGCCTAATAATCAATCTCATAACAGACATGTTTCTATAAAATAAAAAATAGAGATCTCAAGAGATGAATAATTTCAAGTACTGGTATTTCTCATCTGCAGAAGGTTAAAAGACAAAAAAATTTTCATATTCTCGGAACAATGAATGATTTTGGCAGCCCAAGCAATCTGTTAAAGCAAGATTCTATTGAGTGTTTATCAGCAGCATATAGAATTAAATTATATAAGATACGTAAGAAAAACTTTTGAAATTATAATTGTTATATATAATACTTTAAATAATACAATAAAAGCCATGTAAATAAAAATTGCATGATACTGAAATATTTTTCAGTTTGGAAGGTTTCTGTTTTAAACAGGTTTTATTTTTAACATTGAAAATTGCTTCATAATGAAAAATGTTTTCCATTAAGGAGTTTCCATTTTATTCAGGTTCCATTTTGGTATTCAATATATTTTGTACTTGTTTTCAATTTACTCTTAATATAATAAAAACATCATTTATATTTTTATAAAACATGCAAAAAAAATTATGACATTACTGTTTAAAGTTAAATGATAATTTCATAATTATCATAATTTTTATTTTATTTTAGATTTATTATTTTTTTCATTCTTAAAACATCTGCTACTACAAAATCTTTTCTTGTTTATTTAGTATTAATATTTTTAATAAAATGGCAATAATTTCAATTGGAATATATAATAAAAAATAAGTTACCTCATTAATATGTTTGTATGTTTTGATGAGGTCTACACTAAGTTTTCTTAATGGAGCTGTACTTGGATCACGATATTTATAGGCTACACGAGATTGCAAGGACACAAAATCATTTTGTGAGCCTTGCGCTCTGGTTGCCATTGCAACCAGTTGGTCCTGCGTAACCAATTGTCCATACATTGAGCCTGGTGCTTTGGACTGGTCTCCTATAATAAAATAAAAAGTATTAATGATATTATCTACATGGGGGCTGTTTCTTACAGTTTTCTCAAATAGAGTATTAAAATACAAACTAACAAAGCAAACCTTGTAAAGTCAACTTTGTTATTCATTAAATTTGGGTTATAAGGATGCTGCACACAGTCATTCTTTGACACTTTACTGTGCAGCACATAAATAGATGATGTAACAAAACATCATCTATTTATGTGCTCCTATCTATTTACTATCGAAACTCATGACTATCTATTTTGTTATCCATTTCTGGCCATTTATCCACNTATCTACATTTATTTTTATTATTTTTTTCTATATATATCAGCTAACTTTTTTTGAAATGATTTGAAAAGTAGTTCTATTGTTTACACACAAATAAAGCCAAAGAAAACCCAACAATAAACCCAACAGAAAATGTCACTGACATTTTCCTTTTCTGTTTTTCTTTGTATTGTGTTTAACATGAGGTTGTTTCTATCATAATAAAAAAACTGCTTATATATTACAGGACAAAGATTATAATGAAAACCTAACTATCTAATAAGAAATATTCATTATTAAATTGAACATTTCAATATTTGGTCACTGTAAATACCTCAATACAGTATTTCTGAAACAGATATTCAAAGTACATATGTCAGAAAATTAGAAATAGTAAAAATATTGAAACACAATAGACATGACATATAACAGTTTCCATTAATTTAATCTTAAATAATGTATAGCTTAATATTATAAATCAGAATATTGCTGCATGTTGGACATCCTCCTATGACAGTACTGCTAAAAGTGAGATGCCATCTACTCAGAACAGTCCTCTCATGTAGCTTCCAGTTCTCTGCCTATATATATATATATTTTTATCCTTATTTAAAAAATAGCCCTCGTATGACAAGTAATAACTTATATATATGAACATGCTCAATTACTAAGAAAAAAAATTTCTTAAATTCAAAAATTTACTACTGTAGAATCCATTCTAATGAAAATATAAATACAGTGGAACCTCGGTATATGACCTTAATCCGTTCCTGACCGAATAGGACGTATATGAAACCAACCTTTCCCATAAGAAGTACAGTAATGTAAAAATGATTAATCCGTTCTCATGAAAAAAAAAATGGCTGGCTTTAAACACCTCGCTTTCCTGGCTAGTTGCTGTTTGATTTTTCATGAGATCAGCGTGTATCGTTTTAGCTTTCTTGCAAATAATTGCTTCCGATACGCTGTCTCCAGCACACTGTTTTTCAGTTATCCAAAGCAAAAGCAATTTCTCAACATGATCTAATGTCTTTGATCTCTGTTTAGAAATTTATTTAACTCCTTTCGCAACGTTAGCAGATTTAATAATGTCTTTATTTTTCGCGATTGTCAAAATCATTGTTCTCGGAATACGGTATGCAAAAGTTAAATCTCGAACACACATACCATCTTCGTATTTCTCAACAATCTCTTTTTTTCAGTTCCATTGTGATTCTAGTCATTTTTTTAGTTTTCTGTTGCTTTTCACTTGCCATTTTGCAATTCATGATTAATAAAAATAATAAAATTTTACTTACAAATTAAAATCAGAAGAAATTTAACAAAGTTATAAACTGTGGCACTGCGAACGTCTAGTCTGGTTTAGTACACCGATAGTGCTACTTGTTCATAGATGGCGCGTATAATTGAATTAAGTCATATACCGAACAAAAGTTGTATACCGAGCAAAATTTGTTTTGCCCAAACAGGACATATTCCGAATTGGACATATTCTAAAGCAGATGTATACCGAGGTACCACTGTATATGTTTTGCCTCGATAACATGTAGCAATTTTCATTGTAACATACTATGAAAACTACTCTTTGAAAACTGCACCTTGTCATAAATCACTCAAATCATTAAAATGCAGTAAAATTTTAGTTTTCAAATGTTTTTGGTCATAAGTTTGAAAATTAAAACTGTACTGCATTTTAAATGTTTTGAAAAGTAGTTCTATTGTTTACACACAAATAAACCCAAAATCAGTAAAGGAATAAAACTATTTATTGATATGAACATTTACTGGTTTTGTGTATACAGTTGAACATGTCTTTCTCAAGCATGATTATCTTGAAAACCTCTATCTCAAAATTTATTTTTATCTGCATTTTCAGACTAAATTCAATATATTTTCTACATTATCTCAAATAATTTTCTCCCAAAACCTCTCTCTCTCTCTCAAATTATGGATTGAAGTACTAATTAGAAATTCAAAGTTCAGTGACATTTTTTAGCATAAATTGTAGTTGAAAAACATCTCTTGCACTATAGTATGTAGTTGCAATTAACACTATTTTTCTCTGATTGGGTACCAATTTGGCTTGCATCTTATTGGTTTAAAAAAGTCAGGCATTAGAAACTATTGAAAAAATATTTCTATTAAGATACATCAAAAATGTTTTATTTATACCTAATACAGATAGGTACTGTACTTGATATTGTATTAATAAAATATCATACCTCCAAACAAATCTATTACTGTTTACTGCATAGGAACCTCTATATCTCAAAATCTGTTTATCTCAAATTTTTTTCTTGTTCCTATGAGATTTGAGATAGACAGGTACAACTGTATTTGTGTGATTTTTTCATTACTTACAATCAGTTTCTGAAGTAAATGTATAACATACTACATCTTAAAAATAAAGCGAATAGCAAATAATGTTTTTCTTGAAGTATTGTTTATCCATATAAATACAAAGTAATTAAGGGATATACTTTTTCAATTATTATATGATACAAAATTTTATTAATTCTTTATATCTACATTTATTTTTATTATTTTTTTCTATATATATCAGCTAACTTTTTTTGAAATGATTTGAAAAGTAGTTCTATTGTTTACACACAAATAAAGCCAAAGAAAACCCAACAATAAACCCAACAGAAAATGTCACTGACATTTTCCTTTTCTGTTTTTCTTTGTATTGTGTTTAACATGAGGTTGTTTCTATCATAATAAAAAAACTGCTTATATATTACAGGACAAAGATTATAATGAAAACCTAACTATCTAATAAGAAATATTCATTATTAAATTGAACATTTCAATATTTGGTCACTGTAAATACCTCAATACAGTATTTCTGAAACAGATATTCAAAGTACATATGTCAGAAAATTAGAAATAGTAAAAATATTGAAACACAATAGACATGACATATAACAGTTTCCATTAATTTAATCTTAAATAATGTATAGCTTAATATTATAAATCAGAATATTGCTGCATGTTGGACATCCTCCTATGACAGTACTGCTAAAAGTGAGATGCCATCTACTCAGAACAGTCCTCTCATGTAGCTTCCAGTTCTCTGCCTATATATATATATATTTTTATATTATTATTAAAAATTATTAAAAAAATACAAATATATATATATATATATATACTTGTACTTTTTATATACATTTGTACTTTTTAATAATTTTTTAAATAAGAAAAAGATCCCAAATTTTTCTTATTTAGTATCTGGTTTTGTAAGATGTTTATATTTACTTCTGTATTTGATTTCATTAATACATTTTAACACTAAAACATAATAATACAATAAATACAGAAGTAAATATAAACATCTTACAAAACCAGATACCTTACATTATCTAAAATTATTTGATTAACCCCATCCTTACAATAATACATTGTTCCCAGTGCAGTCACTTGCATCAAAGGTAATACAACTCATCATCCATAACAATGTCCAGTCAAATTTGAAGCTTTGAAATCACCCTCATGCATTTTTTGCAGCAGAGACCTTTGCAATTTGAGTGTTTTCTTTTTGTATACTTTCAGGCTAAATTTCAGTTCTGGAAAACATTTTGCACAACTAGTATGTTTCTAACATATTGATGAAACATTTTGAACACTTTTTTCTAAGTGTTTTTAATGACTCTCCAACTTATCTGATTCCCTCTTTTTTGCTGTCATTTTAATTCTCGCACCCACCCCCTGGACATCCAGCAATAATTTTTCACTTTTCAGCATTTCTATAATGCTGCAAATTGTCCTTCTTGTCATTTCCATATCCACTAAATTCTTAAGCTTCTGTCCTTTCCTTATGTTGTTTGCAAAATTCACTAACTACAACTCTTCTTTACCCCTCATTAAGCTGCTCCATTTTGTTGGGCTGCAATAACCTATAAATTCCTACTGTCTTCTGTCTGTCTGTCATTCCTTAATCTCGAGAACAGTATTAGATAGATGAAAGTGAAGACCAGATATGGAAAACTTAGTTAATTAAGGCCTTATGCTCCTATATACAAACTTCTGGTCTACATTGGAGCTCATGTGAATCCAATTCAAATATTTTCCCCTGAATGGAGTTACAAAGATTACTGGCATGATTCTGTTGTTATCAGGAAAAGTATGATGTACAGGGGCAAGACAATACAAATTTGAGATGAATAACATGTGTTTTAAATAAAATAAATAAAGAATATGATTAAGAATTACAGCCCAGCATAGTGATGTTGTCACAATAAATATGCCTATTAAAATTGTGCAGAGTTTTAGTTAACAGGAGATCAAAGGTGATTTTGTATGTTAAGTTATCAAACTTTTTTCGCTTCTGCTTATGGTAGTGTATATACAAATCAGACTATTGCATCATGAAATGGGTTACACTTTTATAACTATGGATATGCAATTTAGCAATTCACAAGGGTTGACTATATATAGTTTATTATATAAAGTAGCAACATCATACTGGCAACAAATTTTAACCTGGGAATATATACCAATGGATGCATTAGGGAGAGATAAGGGTAGGCTGGGCCGATCCTGGATTTCCTTGCCGACCTATATGCCACCTAAAATAATTTTTTTAGGTCTACATATACTGACCATTATTGAGGTCTACATATACTGACCTTTTCTTTAAATATGATTTGATTGTTTGCCAAGTAATTATATGTTCTTGCTAAATGCTCTTTTTACACTTATATGACACTGAAAATTGATTGCTACA